GCTGAGATCATGAGAGTCGAAATTTGAATTTTTTTGAATTTGCGCATGCGCAAAAGTTATCTTGGTTGCCATGGTGACAAACATCGTGCGCGGCTGTCAGTCTGCAGCGCAGAGGAGTACCAGGAGTCGCTCCAGAAAATTTTAATGAAATCGCTCAAAGATTGACGGTAAAAATCGGAATAGTGTGCAAACCTAAATTTTGTAGAAATTTGCTGATATTTCAGTATTTCAAAAACAATTGTGCAGACTTTGCGCGGCTATATCTCCGGAAGGAAGCACCCGATTACGCTCAAATTTTCAGGATAAACCCTTTGGACCATACACAAGACGCTGCCAGTGAAAAAATACAGAAAATCGAAACTTTGTTTTTTGACCCTCTGAACCCAGACTGCCACCTTTTTAATACCGGTATTATTATTTGCCATGGCGACCCCCGTAAGCCCAAATATATATTATTAAATAGCTGGCAGGGCAGGGTTGGGCCTTTTTTTCTTTTACTTCACAGGTGTAGCATTTTATCAGTCATAACGTATGATTTATGCAGTGGCAGCAGGGAGTCGTAAAATACTTTTTAAATATTTTACGACTCCCTGAGTGGCAGTACCAGGCGTGCACCATCCCCTGGATTATCAAAATGGGTGCCTTATCATGTTTCTGTTGTTTTTAGTACTTTTTACACTACAGTTTCATGTATTTTCATCGATTTCGTTCGATTTTGTTGCTATAAAAAAAAAGAAGGAAGTAAGTAAAAATTAGTTCCTCCCGCCCCCCCCCGATCCTCGCGCATGCACATCCGAAAAAAAAGAAGAAAAAAAGACTTCGTTATGGCCAGTTCGTGACGTCATTCAGGCAAATGCAGTTTTCAAAAAATACACACGTTCAGGTGCGATCAATGAAAATGGAAATGGTCACTTTTGTTTGGCTTTGACTTTGTGATCGTGAGTAAACACAGGTAGGTTTTTGTTGCCTATTTTCCAAGGAAGCTTTGGATTGACCAAACACCATCAAAAAGGACCTGACTAAGTTCGTCGTCTGTCCGAGCAGTGTTCGATAGTCTGTCCCTTGCAAGTGGAAGCGACGAATTTTGTTGGACAAATCAAAGTAAAACATTTCAACGTATCCATTCATTGCAGAAGTTATTTGCGCTTATACTGCATCTGGAAGAAGCTGATTTGGTGGAATTAAAGAATGTCTCGCGAGGGTCATGACGACTGCTATTCCATGGGTTCGGATTGCTCGTGCCAATCCTCTTCGGGCTCGTGTTCTATGTGCGAAGAGGAGCCCGATCGGCCATTGCCTGATGGCTGGCACCGAGCCTGGGATAGTGCAGGTCACGTGTACTACTGGAACGAGATTACCAGAGAGAGCAAATGGACGCTGAAGGGTATACGCTTACAAGCTATCGACTTTGAAGCTGAGAAGACCACCAACTTGCGTGGAGATCACGCGTTCGGAAGTGGAATGAGTCGTGTGGTGCCTCGGCGGACGTCAGCATCCCCAAGCAGATCAGAAGCGACTGCTCTGGAGCATACTGCTCCACGACAAGCGTGGGATACGTCTTTGGCAGAAGATGACCGCAGTTGCGAGGACAGCCAGGATTCCTTGCCTAGAACGCCGCAATGCCCGCGGTCTCCGGCAGCGTTTGAGCTGTCGCCAGGCCACGCTACCAGCACTTTGGCTGCCTTACCATCTGATCCTCGCCAGCAGGCATCCGTTGCAAGAGAGGACAAGCGCATGAACAATGACCTGAAGCAGCGTCTCTCCAGCTTGGTCATCCAAGGCTTGCTACCCTTTCACCTGGGCAGCCACGAGTCACGGTATTCTGGCGAGCCACCCCGCATCGGCAACTCGGCAGAGTTCAAGAAACTCGCCAGGAAACTCACGCACACGGTCCAGGAGAAGGAGCTGCACAAGGCCCGCCAGCGCGGTGCACAGCTGGAGATCACCGACAAAGTGCGCGTCCGCGTGCGCGAGTACGTGCGCGCCTACGTCAAGGCGCACTGCGCTCCGCTGGAAGGTGCGCCGTCGGTGTCGTCGGGCGGATCGCCGTCATCGGACTGAGCCCATCGTCCAGCATGGGCACGCAGTTCTGTTACTATCATGGTACTGGTGAGTGGGCATGGTCTGTACCTACACTGCTGTACTCTATAATCACACACAGATCAGACCCGGTGACTAAAGTCGCATACACTTTTATTTGAATTTTCACTTCACTTGTTAGTTTTCGCCCACTAGGCCTTGGTCACGTGATGTTATTGAGCGGCGTGAAAATGCTTTCTGCTCGTCCAATGTCGCGATGGCGAGAGTGTTTGAGTTCGCGTTTTAGGCATTTTCTTTAGTGCTGGAAGCAGGTGTGATTGTCAATTTGTCATGTGCATCTGCAGTGCATGGTCGAGTATGCTTTTCTCTAGCATTTGTATGTATATGTAGGTATACCGGTACTATCCTGGGAGTTTGTATCTGATATTGAAAACACCGATTATAGGATTTTTTGTACCGGTTTGTACTTCGAAGTCTATGTACTTAAAAGTACAGTGTAGCTCTCTATCATGCTGGCCATGAGAGCTTTGAGAAACTTTTTTAAAAACATTTTTGTTGCCTTCGAGCTTCAGGGCATGTTGATATTTTTCTATGCCACTTTCTTTTAGCATAATGTGTCAAATTTTTGAATTGGAACTTGGATTTAAATCGAAGCTATGCCTTGCAGGCAGAATCACTGTGGAATCTGTGATCCGTGAAGTCTCCAACAGGCCGTTGTATCTTTATATGCGTCAAGTGTGTGGGTACTGTGAGGGCTGCATCCTACCAGCCTGTGTAGTGTCACAGGAAGCGTGAGTTTCGAAGTCTGAAGCAGGGAGTCGTAAAATACCGACTCCCTGGCCTGAAGCAAACATCTCTGCTGGGATGACAGCTTCACCAGTGCCCGTCACAGCAGTGGTAAGACAAGAGCATTGCTGGCCTCAAGCGTAGGTCTCCCAAGTCCTGGTGGTGGCAGTCAATTTTTTTCTTCAGACTTTTTCCTTTTCCATTCCCTCAACTTGTCAACACCAGGGAGTACATGTACTAGACTACTATAAGTAGTACCGTAAAATCCCGCTGCCAGAGCGCCGCCCCGTCTCTCCCATCCACCCCTCCCTGACTTCTTGTCAGGGAAGTGATTGGTTGTACCCTCGTATGGCTCTGTGGTGCCGTACTGTACTGCAGATGGGTGCTCGACCCCATTGGAAATGTGCGCAACAGTGCCCACCCTCCTGACCAGGGATCGCACAAACCCTGAGTTTTGATGGGTCTATCCTGGCTCTTGACCTTTGGTCGGTGTACGAGATGCATGAACAGGTTTCGTAGGGTGAGTACTTTTTCATGCAGTACTGAATGCGGTAAGTAGGACTCGCCCATCCGTCCCTCCCCACCTGGACCTACTCGAAGGGTGGCGGAGGTAGGGACGCTCTGGCGGGATTTTACGGTACTGGAAAACGGTTTTTTTGTACTTCCTGGTGAACATTGTAAGGGGTCAGATTTCACTTGAAGCAGAGCCAACCGTGCATCTTGTGTCTAGTCCTGTTGAGCATGCGTGGCAAAACGTCCTATACAGAGCGTTGAGTTTCTAATGGACCCAAGCTGCATCATGCACATGAAACCTACTGTAGCAGACATGGAAGTCCATTCAATTGACCGGGGCCGGCGCCCTCAGCGCGTACAGGACGCCGTGTGCAGTGCACAAAGTCATGTTGATCCGATCGCGATGCGAACATGATGCATGTTCCGCTTATCCACGGCTAGGCTACATGGCCAGCGCCCTGGGGCCGCTAGACGTGCGACCGGATTTCCATGTCCACGATTGTAGATGGTTACAGGTTGCATACACACACGCACCTTGTCCTTGCTCATTTCGTAGAAATGATAGCGCATTGTTATTTCTCCAGCCCATGACTGGACTGGAGAGGTACAATATTGCTTTGGAAAACATTCAGGACTTCGTTTGGTGTGCGGTCATGACGGCAGAATTGATCCTGTTTATTTGTTATTCTATATTGAGGAGATGTGAGATCGTATCTGTATTGTCCTGGGCCTACTGCGGGTGGGAGAAATTTGGATTGGAGATAAAAAGAAATTGCTGTGAACTTTTAGGACGATTGAATAGCAAATCACTCAAGAAAAAATCCATATTGGAAATTTAAAAATGAGTTCGGAGTACGATAAGTAAGTTGACTAGTCGTCCCGTGTGAGCTGGCCAGTTAGATGTAGTGTTAGTTCTGGTGTATTTTCAGTGGCCATTTTCAGAGTGTACTTCAGCTCATTGTCCGATACACGCTCGTACAGCCGCTCCACTTTGGTGACGTGGGGCTCCTTTCCAAACGATGGCCCGTGGACAGCCGTGGATATCAAGTGAACGCTCTGGCCATCTGCACTGACTATTCCTTCCAGATGCTCTGTGACTCCCGTGTTCTGGGAGAGGGCAACAGCGATCTTGTCCGTGCCGGGGCACACCTTCCAGAAGCCATCCTCGGCGTGCATTGGGGATTTTTCCACTGGATGGGAAGTCCGGCCCGTGTAGGTTAGGAACGGTTTTCCGCAACTACCAAACGATACCGTCTCGACGTAATCGAATGCTTTTATGGTTGGGAAAACTCCATGCCCACTGCCTCTCCAACGTCCTACAATCCAAGCGAGGCGAGCAAGAGCAGGGTGCAAAGCCATTGTCCGTTCGGTCCAAAGAGATTGATCGGCGACGGGAAAGAGGCAACCTTTGGAGTCTACAATTTACAAACTTTCTTGGTGTTGCGTCTCTAGCTCTGAACGTTCAAACGATGAATATGATTTTTCTGTTTTGAAAGTCGAGTGTTGTTTTCCCGCATACGGGATCGCGAGCGTAGCGTATCTCCGCCGTCCGGGCATCCATGGCAACAAGAGAAGAGACACTGGATTTTGTGGACTTGACGACGAGTGACGTTTTTTTGTAGATTTCTAGAGTGCATAAAATAATAATGAACAGTTTGGTTGTATGCTTTTTGGAAATAGTAATTGGTCAAGAAATATAAAACAAATGGTACTGGCATTTGCTCTCTTTGTCTCTCCTGAGCTCCCAACATCATTTTTGTGAGAAGCAGAAACCACGGAGGTACGATCTATTGGAGTGGCCAGGCAACACTCAAGCCTCTCCAGTAGATTGAATTCCTCTGCACAGTCTATCGATTATTTAGGTTGAAATCATGGCCAGACTAGGCAGTTGGGTTCGCAAGAATCGCATAGCGTTAGCTGCTGCATCTTTGGGAATGACTGGATCGGCCTTGTTTTTGCAGGGACGTGCCGCTGGAAGCAGTCCTGTTGCCGCAACATGGAAGGAAGCACTGACTGTTTTCCGCCAGTACCAGAGTGCCACAATGGTGAACCGTAGTAGAATACACAGTTTCCATGTCGGCCATGTGGCATCCAACAGTCCTGCTGAAGACCGTCACGTACAGGCGCATCTGAAGCCATGCGACTCCTACTTGTTTTCAATCATCGACGGCCACTCTGGTTGGGAATGCGCCCAGAGACTGCAGGAACGATTGCCATTCTACCTTTCCTGCGCTCTCTCGCCCAGGGGCAAAGTGATGGATGTGCTACCAGTTGAGAACTGGTTCAACAGACTCACAGACAGCAAGTCGCTGCTAGCTCCCCCAGTTGCGGAAAGCGACTCCACGCAAAACCGTTTCAGCGCGTCGGCCTCGCAGTTCAATGAATCAGTCGTGAAGAGCGGAGAGATGAGCACTGTGAATGCCATCAAGATGGCGGTACAGAGTGTCGACGAGGACTTCAGTAACGAGGCGCTGGGCGGTGATAAGGACGCCGTGCGTGTCGTGGCATCCGGTGCCGTGGCGGCGTCGGCTTTAGTGCACGGCAACGAGCTCTACCTAGCCAACACCGGAGACTGCCGCATCGTGCTCGGAACGAAGAATGCCAGCGGCCCGGGCTATGTTGCCACACCACTGACAACAGACCACACGGTGGACAATACGTTGGAGGTGGCACGCCTACGAGACGGCCATCCCGGAGAGCGTGGGGTCATAGCCTATGGCCGTCTACTCGGGTCTCTGCAGCCACTCAGAGCCTTTGGCGACTTTGTGTACAAATGGCCGTATGATGTGGTTCGCAGAATGTTCGGCACATCACCACCGAACTATCTCACACCGCCGTATCTGACCTGTGAGCCTGAGATACGCAAGCACAAGCTCACGAACGACGATTCCTTCATGATCCTGGCCACGGATGGTCTCTGGGATGACCTGTCACCGTCAGAGGTCGTTGACATTGTCGGACGTCACTACAATGTGCTTCGGCAGCAGGCGAAGCGTCCGGTCGACATGGAGGAGAATGCAGCGACGGACTTGATCATCCGTGCTTTGCAGTCCACGTGCCGCGAGCCGGACACCCTAAAGCAACAGGAGTATGCCGCAGCACTGCTGAAGCTGCCGGCTCAAGTGCGCCGCAGATATTATGATGACATCACGGTCGTTGTGGTGTTCTTCGAGAACGAGTCGAAATGAAAATCATGTTCCGGAGGGGCTTGAGATAGTTACGAATTTCTGCTACCGTACTACGATGGACTTTTCAACCGGCCAGGCACTCTGCTTTGCCTGGATCATGTCCTGTCTTGGCACAGGGTTCTCTGAAGAGGGAACTGACTGCAGGGTCTATAATCATTTGGTTGCAACTGTACTGACCAATCTTGATACAGAGGTGTTCCTGGCGCACTCAAACTGCGCCACGGCGTTCGTCCATCTGGCGGTTGAAGGCCTAAGAATGCACGGAAGCATTTGGAGACGCCTGGGCTGAGGCAGTAACATGCAGACCGGTCACAACAGCCAGTATCAGCTTGGGTGAAATCGTGTAGTGTACATGGTGGTGGACAACTTGTAGCGTTGAACTTGGCACGCAGTGATACTTTGGTGTGGTGAATGGCGCCCAGCTGCCCCGTTTCATGAAGCAGTCAGCTGCACTGATCTGAAGCACCTGCTGTTGTTGTTTCGACGCTTTACGCCCGGGCGCTGGGAGCACCGTGGCGTTTCTGTGAGATGGCGATTGGTTTGCCATTGTAGGAACACTGTTGAAAAGCGTGTCTTCTCCTTTTTTTCTTTTTAGCGTCGGAACTTTGCATTAGGTATGTTGCCGAATTATTTTTTTATAACCCCACTTTCATCCATGGACTTGAACGTTCACTAAGAAGTTGTTGGACTTCATGCTTGTGTACGTGAGGCTTAAATAGCACTTCTATGTGAACTGTTCAGTATTGGCCTGTGGTCCTCCATGCTCGATAGATCAATTGATCAGGGGGAAACCATAGTTCCTGATGATTTCGCCCTGTCCGTATGCACGCTTTGTAGGCGTTAGCCGGCGGCGTATGCGACGTATTCTTCTATCACTTGATACAATCAAATTTTTATAAGTCCAGTCTTGTACTGTGTGCCTGGTGTTGGACTGGGCCCATCATAATCGATCACAGCCGCATCTATGTTGGTTTTCCGACACCGCAGCGTTGACCCTCCGTGCCCCGCAACACTGGGTGTACACACGCCACCGCTGCCTTGCATCCAATCACAACGTTAATGAGTCTGACTGGAGTTGGCATCCTGAAAGCCATGAAAAGATTGAAAACTAAAGCTGGGTGCAGTGTGCGTCAGGTGCAGGTGTAGCACACGTTGAAAACGCATGTCACACCGCCACTACTGCCACTAGACTGCACCAGGCCCAGGGGTTGCAGCAGAGTCTAACACACTTGCAAGTGCAGGCACTGAAGCGAAACCAGTTCCGACTGACACACGTCTGAGAAGAGCCTGGTGGACAATCTTTTAGGATCTTCAAGCTACATTTCTGACTCGTAGATATAGATAAAGTCGCTCTAAAAGTCGAACACTTATAACAAACCTTCCAGACAGCAAGCAGCAATTATCTCGAAAAGAAAGGTTTGAAATTGAAGTTGTACAAAGTGCATGCTCAATAGTCGCTATTCGCGCAAATCAAGTGGAAGTCAAAAGGTCGGCGCTGCGTTCACTAGCAACCGCTAATATGTCTCTACAGAAGAAAAAGCGTTCTCGCAGCAACAGCTTGCCAGTGAACAATTTCTTTAGGCATGTTGAAGGAAGCCCCCAAGAAGATGAAAGTGGTAAGCACTACTACCACCGAACCAGAAGTCTCGCCGAAAATGTCAACAGTTTGACTGAGGCTGAGGAAGAGTCACGTAAAGTGCGCATGCTCCCGCACGTCAGAATTGAGAACATGGCGTCAAGTAGAATTGTTCCTGTGGTGCTCTGGGGTCCAACACCACCAACTCATTCAATTAGCAGTCTTCTAGTGGCCAAAGACGAGAAATGTATTATAACTGGCTCGAAGGAAGGGCAGCTATGCCTTTGGGATTTGGTGCGTGGAAACGGAAATGAAATACAGGTAAGATAATTCAAATTTTATTGAGAATATTATATTGAGTACATGAGTTGAGAATTTTGAATATAATAATCATTCCTTTTGCTCTGTATAGCCAGTAACTGTCTTCCTAAGGGCGAATAGCGAACAACATAGTTGTACATAGTGTAGGAGTTGTCCAAGCCAACCTCTCAGTTGGTCGATCCTTCCTGTGGTAATATTTCGAGATTTTGTAATATTTCCTGTCAAGTAATTATTTCTCCCACTTATTGCTAGTATAATGTCAACAGTGTGCCCATACATGCATGCATTGTCTTTATTTGAAATACGATCGTGGCACAAGTGTAGTGATCGGGGAGCACTATTCATACAACTGAGCATGTGTGCTTCGTTTTATTCAGAAGAATATTGATTAGAAAAAATTCTTAATATTGGTACTCAGTGCTCTGCAAAAACACTGAATGTATGCCGGAGCATGCAATGTATTTTAATAATAAGTGATTGAGAATGTTCTGTGGCAGTCACAGCAAATACAGCATACGTACCAGGTGCCGTATGAAGGGTCATGACAATAGTCGAAGCACACTAAAGTTACCGTATATCTGCTTGGTGGAAATACACTGACCTAACCAATTTGAAGCTGTGCAAACCAAACTCAAGTGATTTTCGATTTTGCGCAACGTATTATCGTGGAATTGCTTCATCCAGAAGTTAGATCTCTTACTGGCTATGCGTGGGTGTTTGCTAAATGTATATACAGTGGTCCCTCTATAATCCGGCACCATTTGTGCCACGGAAATTCTGCTGGATTACGGAGGGTGCTGGATTAACAAATCGGGTTTACTGCTACAATGTGCATCAAGAGGACATTTTGGCGACTGAAAATTGTGCTGGTTTATCGAGCGTGCTGGTTTATAAAGTGCCGGATTAACCTCTTTAGCACGACGCTACCTGAGCGCGCCCCACGTCAACACCTGTAAAAGTCGCATTTTCCCATGAAAGTACTAGCTGCTCAAGGATCGATAACTTTACCTTCCCTTGGACGAATTCCACGATCTTGAGCTTCCTGGAAAGGTCGTGAGACGAGGGACAAACTGGTATCAAACCCAGCTCGGAGCGAAACCAAAACCCCGTGCTACAGTCTGGCAAACTTCATCCACGCGCTCGACAGACTTGAGCACGGCCAAAACTAACCAAGCTCAAATATTCAGCTGCCATTTCGGTCTCCTTGCTCGTATCGAGCTCAAATTTTTTGTGAGGACTCACGGGATCCACTACCATCATTTGAATCTTGTTTCCATGGCAGCAGGTAGCGCAAAAAGGATCCATGATGGAAAATACGCGTTCTGCAGACTGCGCAAAAAAATCGAGTTGAAATTTGCCGTGTCGAGTCGCATATCTCAACAACCGGTAGTCGCATCGCTTCGGCGATTGTTTCTATCGCCAGCTGAGAGTTTTCTCTTGCAGATACATGTTTCGATTGTGAGAATCGACCAAGTATTGAGTGAGTTGCGATAGTTTGAACAAGTCACTATGGACTCAACACGGACCCCACGACTATGAGATGCAGGTTCACTGTACAGTGTACAGCGCGCGTCGTACTAGTACGACGGCCGTGGGGCATGCAACTCATGTGCGTCGTACTAGTACGACGCTCGCGCTAAAGAGGTTAAAGAGGGATGACTGTACAGTAAAAAAAAACATGTCTTTACTGGACGCCCCTGGTGCGGCGGAATCTATCCTGATACGACAGGATTCCTCTTGATAACGGAGGCATACACGACCCACATTTATGTACATGAACAAGGTATACTATTCGCACACATGCCTACATACATGCAAGCAGCACACACGCACACACTCACACGATACACCACACTTTCACATGTACTCCTGTGCTGCATGCAGTCCATGCTGCGAACTAGGGACTAGTACTAGTAGGGTAGTACCGTTAGTCCGTGACCTGCGAGAGCTTCCACGTGTGTGAAAGCTCATATGGCATGGTACGGAGTTCCCTTGTTGCAGGTGAAGACTGGACTTGGTGCGCGAAATCTTTTCCGCTTGTTGCGGTGAGTTTTCTATGGCAACCCACCCTCGCCTGGAAATTTTTCCGGTCGACAGGGTTCCGCTTTAGACAAGGTCCGGTAAACCCAGGTTTTACTGTATTTTTACAAGACGGTTCCTACATTGTGCATGCTGTTGGTTGAAGAACGAAATGAGGGAGACCCCCCCCCCCCCCCCCCCCCTCTCCCATAGTTGGTTTTCTCACAGCAAGGCGGCATGAAAGTTCTGCCTTGAAATGGAGCACTCTTCGAGCAGTGGAGCCCCAACTTGCTCATGTGATTGCCTTTCTCCTCGTTCTCTCTCTCTCTCTCTCTCTCTCTCTATCTATCTCTCTCTCTCTCTCTCTCTCTCTCTCTCTCTCTCTCTCTCTCTCTCTCTCTCTCTCTCTCTCTCTCTCTCTCTCTCTATCTCTCTCTCTCTCTCTCTCTCTCTCTCTCTCTCTCTCTCTCTCTCTCTCTCTCTCTCTCTCTCTCTCTCTCTCTCTCTCTCTCTCTCTCTCTCTCTCTCTCTCTCTCGCTCTCTCTCTTCTGTCCGTCATTTGTGGCCACTAGCCCTGGCCATGTTAAGTGATGTCACATGTGGTGTCACGTGTTCTTGCCCGTGAGCATTTCACAGCGCCCCACGTCGATGCAAATAGACACACACGTACATGTACTAGAAGCATATGAGCTACCAGACCACAAACATCGCAGCGATTTCTATTTCACTGCCACGTGACGTGCTTGAATATCTGAGTCCGGCACTAAGCATGTTGATGTTTGTTTTTGTTTTGTAGATATTTCCCTGCCAATTGTTGTACGGGCATAGCTCTGCCATTACAGCATTGGCAGATTGTGTCAACGGTCCAGACAACTATGCTCTCGTCAGTGCTACAAAGTGTGGGTAAGCTTTCCCGACGTGCCTTGCTTTTTGGGAGGAGCACTTCAACGCTTTGAGGCGGTGTGGGTGCATTGCACGGGTCATGTTTCATACCCTGAGTTTAGCAAACTTCTTGAAGTGAGGGCACATTCAATTTCATTTCTCCAGGGTTGCAATTATCGATTCCATTCTTTGCTGGTTCAATGTCTTAAGGCCGGTTCACAATACAATTTTCTGTGTCGCGACACGCGATTTACGACAAGAAGCTGCCTGTCGCGAGCTGCCGCATACAGTCGCAAGGCACCTGTCGCAGAAGTTGAACAAAGTTCAACTTTTGCGACATGCGACGTGCGACATACATACACAAATGGAGTACAGTTTCTACCCTGGGTGCATGTGCAGTGCACGTTCAGTGCACGTGCATAGTACTACTCGTGCATAAGGATGTCGCAAACATGTAAAAGGTTGTGAACCGTGTGTCGCTGTCGCAGCTCGTCGCATGTCGCGCCACAAGAAGTTGTATTGTGATTCGGTCTTTACTCTTTGTTGGTGTGTTGAGCATTAACCCTTTTAAGGCTACAGGTCATGGCACTCGGTACCCAGGCTCTGCACTCCTTATTTGGCATTGAAACGACGTATATATACGTCCTCAGCGCCTGGGCGTCATTTTCAATGACGTCTACTTCTGTCATGTCTTCTGTTGGTGTTGCTTTCTTGTCCCATATACTACTCTCTTTGTTTGGTATTGTGCGTTGAGCTATTTCCGCTATGCTACTGGTGTCACCTATTTCACGAATCCCGGGTGTTAGGTGTTCATCCGTACACGGTGTGCGCATGTATTAATTAGAGTAGTGTTCCGAACGAGAGCTTTGAGCGCCATTATGTTTGCACGTCTGTTGATTTTGTTGTTGTATCTTCTGTGACTTTCTGTCCTTCTCGCTGCACACACGCAGGCAAATCTTCGTGTGGGACATACACGATGGCACATGTCTGCATTCACGGGTGATACCGGGCCACCATCATGCCCACGTCGAGGTGTTCCAGCCGTCGGGTCGGCCAGACCTGGCGCCGCGCCTCCTTGTCCAGGGCTACTACAGTGACCTGTTCGTGCTGGACCTGAGCTCCTTCGACATCCTCTTCCTTCTCCGTCAGAAAGTCAGCCCATCCTGGGTTACTGCTATGGCGGTGGTGGAGAACACCACGGCACAGGTGAGTGGCGTTGACGCTGCTTTCATCTTGCCGTGTGTTCTGTCCAAGTCTCGCACGCGCTATTGCTCTTGTGCTTTTCTTGTGTCGACGTTTTCTGTTACGCATACAGTATGCATTGTGAGCCCTGTCATCCATGGCTTAAAAAAATTTGGAATGTGTTTTGGTGTCATGTTACCGTATTGTACCGGCTGTAAGTCGACCCCGGTTATAAGTGGACCTCCAGACTTGGGGCCTCGATTTACCGGTTTACGGGCAGGTATACCCCGGCTGTAAGTCGACTTCCCCTTATTAGGCCGGGTGTTAGGTCATTAAAAGGTCGACTAACAACCGGTAACATAAAGTTGTTGTTTGTGCCATAGCTTGGCAGCCGTGTGATGATGTGCTCACAGCACTACTGTATAACCAGAAGTAACGTTATGCATCGCAGACTAATTTCGTCTTTCTCATCTAAGGATTTTTCGGACTAAAATTAATATTGCCGGACTAACGTCGATTTTCCAGCTTTTTTTTCAATACGCTGCATGGCCTGTGGACTAAACTACTGTAAAGCGATAAATTTGTGCGGCGCGCAAAGTTTGCGTTTTCAAGAATTGCGCCGGTTCACGACGAGAAACTTTCGCGATTTAATCTCTTCAATGGGATCTTGTACAGTCAAAAATCAATGCACAGAGCAGTTTGCGGCGATCTATATTCGCGAAAGTGTGCTGGTAGCGAAAATAGCGAAATATAATCTCTAGCGAAAATTTCTCACTTTACAGTAATGATTTTCTGGTTGTACAGTATGTATTGAACTAAAACTTGCCTCACTTCATGCCTCACTTCAGCGTGCAGTGAGCCTTGTGTTCACAGTGACTGCCTGTGTTGCACGGAAGGCGAGTTTTTGCAACCGAGCTGTCTTCCTACACATTCTAATGTACGGCGGGGCAGAGCCTGGTATCTGGACTAACTTTTTCAATATCCTTTGTGCATGCTTGGTTTCTTTCTACTTTGGTGCACAGACCATGTCCTTCCTGGGCCTGAATGAAGATGGCTACATGAAGGTCTGGAACATGAAGTCAACTGATGTGCGCTCTGCCGAACCTGTGGATAACGAGAAGCAGCATTTTGTCGGGATAACCAGTGCCGTGAGCCTGTGCACCAACCCGTACGGCAGCGCGATGGCGCTGGTCGTTGCCCAGGACAGCTGGCAGCTGTTTGACATCTCCGAAGGTGGCTTCATGCAGCTGTGCCACGTGGGAAGCGACACGCACTCCGTCGCTCTCACCGGTGGCGCTTTCGTCGACCGTTACCAGGTATGGTCGCTGCTAACAGGGTGGTGCGAAGCTTCACTCTGCAAGAGTACTTTGCGTTGGTCGTTGCTTTGAAATCAGTGTTGAAGATTACGTTGCAGACCTTGAGAAATTGTTGTGTTCATTTTGTGCATTGGCAGTTCTAGGAGTTGACGAGTATGATAGCTTTGTTGATAGAGTCTAAACTGGGAATTCTTGCTGTTGCTGCTGCTTTGCTGGTGTGTGTGTGTGTGCAGGTGTTGGTCTGGTGCTCGGACGGCACGGCCATCCTGTACCAGCTGACTCGACGCTGCCACACGCAGGTCGAGCTCAAGGAAGACGGAGCCGTGGGAGTGGAACCTGCGCCGCCCGACGCCCCCGAAGCGGCCATTCGCCTGTGCACGTTCCGGGCTCGCTCCCAGTGCCCCGCTCCGCAGCCGGCGTTCACCTTCTTTGATCTCTCCAGTAGCGGTAGAAATCAGCCCAGCCGCCTGTTCTTGGCTGGCAATTCGAGTGGCCAGATCAATGCTTGGTTCCTTCCCGTACGGGTGAGTGTGATAGCAGCGTGCATGGGTTTTGTTTGTTTAATGGCCTGGGTTGGTGTAGGTGCTGACCAGAGTATGATGAAGTATACATGTAGGGTGATGTTCCATGGCATTTCATTTGCTGCTTTTTGCCTTTTTCCGTTATATTCATTGTGTGATGCGGTGTTCTGTAATAGCCACTGAGGGTGAAATGCATTGTGTGTGTGCGTGCGTGCATGCGTGTGTGTGTGTGTGTGTGTATGTGTGTGTGTGTATGTCTGTATGTGTGCATATGTGCGTGTGTGCCTGACCGCATGTACGCATGTGTATATGCAGGATCACGTCATGGACCTACTGTGCAAGTACGCGCAGCGGCACATGCACAGCCCCAGCTCACCCAGCGCCCTCTTGCCCGTACCCACCAGTGCCCTGGAGACTCTGGAGCCAGTCACGTCATGCCTGCTCAGCGATGCCTGGACACCGCCTGCACAGCCTCTCGGCCTCG